CTGGCCTGTTGAGCACTTTAGGGATCCTGACTGTGTCATGCTCCACGTCACCCACCAGTGGGAGGCCCACCCTTCCATGCATTCACTCAGATCATCGACAAGCATGGTATGCAGGCTCAGGCTGAAATCAGACTCCACCATTCCCTGTGTGCCGTGGTCCTCAGCCGTGCTGTGTGCTAGAAGCACCCAGGGACTTTACACCAGTCCTGCTGCTCAGGCTGCTCCCTCCAACCCATCACCCCCCCCTCTCACACCAACCCCATCACCCCAACCCGTCACACCAACCCATCACACCAACCCGTCACACTGGACTCGCTCAGGTTCCGTCACACCAACCCCATCACACCAACCCATCAACCAACCCCATCACACCAACCCCATCACACCAACCTGTCACACCAACCCGTCACACCAACCCGTCATACCAACCTGTCACAGCAACCAGTCACACCAACCCCATCACACCAACCCGTCACACCAACCCCATCACACCAACCCATCACACCAACCCCATCACACCAACCCGTCACACCAACCCATCACACCAACCCGTCACACTGGACTCGCTCAGGTTGGGATGCGGGTGATTCCACTTGACAGCCAAGGTGGGAACCAGCACTCCTCAGGCGCCATGGGTATTGTTTCTCCAGGGTGAGTTTTTAAGCGAGAGTTTCCTAAAGAAAGACCCATTTTTTTCCATCTTCTCTAAAAGGTTTTCATGAAAACTTCCATTGCAGATTGAAATATGCATGACTATGCCTACATCCCTCTGCATATCTAGGAAGCGACCTCATCACAAAAGAAAACTCTTTGTGTCCACCCTGACTTGTTCCTAGTGGCCCCCAGAGCGCCAAGTGCCCCACTCCCATTTCTAAATACCCCCAACCCATCTCTTTCCTACTCCATTTAGGGACCTTGCCCAGGACTGGTGTCAATTTAAACTTGGAGAATTCAAGTTCTCTTCCCATTTGAAACATAAAACTCTGGTCCTCTGATCCTTCTTCTGTTTTATCAAAGATTTCAACACTTGCTCAGCAACTTCATACACAGATTTGTTCTTGGAAGAAGTTGAGTTTATTTGGACTGAAGTAGGCAGAGAAGATGGCATTTAAGTTGTATCTCGAAAACTAGGCACTGGCTTTGACTAAGCGTAGAAGGATGAGGATGAGAAAAGTGAGATTAAAATGGCTTGATCCCAGCAAGGTAGGACGGGCAGGCCTGGTGTGCAGCAGGCAAGGAGCGCAGCCAACAGCACTGGGTCAGGGGACAGTGTTACCCACCCATAACTAAAGAACCTCGCCCAGCTCATGGAAAGGAAGACTGAAGAACTCCTGTGTTTGGGGTCCTCTGGTCACTGTTTTTTCCTGTGTGATCCTTGAAGGCAGGATTATTGTTTTGTGTTGTGTTTTGTTTTTTGATTTTTGTCTCAGAATCCTAATAACACAACTTAGAACATTATAGTCCATAAATGCTTATTGAAAAAATGAGTGAATGAATGGATTGGTTTTCTGAACAAATAGATGGATGAATGGATTGGTTTTCAGGTATTTGTGGAGGGTGTTTTTGTTGTTGTGTGGTTTTTAGTTTGTTTTATTTTTTATGTTTTGTGTTTTAATGTATAGTCACACATATCGCTATGCTTGTTCTTAATTTTTAAAAAAGGACACCTCTGCCTTGCTCCCAAAGTAACCCTCACGTCCTACTTGTGAGACCAGCTCCATCTACTGTGAGCTAGTCTAAAAGCTTTCACAAAGAACCACGTGTTCTGGGACTACTACTCCCTACCCACTGAAATCCAGCTTGGACGTGTAGGGTCTGTTGACAAATACCGTGCTTGGGAAGCTAAATTTAGTGTAGAAAGAAGGTGGAATGGCTCCTATCCCTGGACTCACCCCAGTGTCCCAGCCCTTCTCAAAATAACCCATGACAAAGGGTATCAGGTACAAAAGACTTGTCCAGTTTGAGGTGAAGTACAAGCTCACGTTGGACCAGGTATAGCTGTGTATGGACAAGTCCTTCATAAACGGATCTAACTGAAGTCTGAGGGAAAGACCATGGGAAAATGGTGATGCTTAGAGAAATGAAATAGCGAAGAATTAGCATTGCTACTGAAATGAGCAGAGCAAGTGCAGGATGTGTAAGTGATGGGAGAGCAGACTTCACCCCAGGGGACAGTGACTAGGGAAGTGGCCCCCAGTGTTTCTGCTCATCGTTTTCTGTACCCACCTGCCTCTTACATGCGGTGAACTGCATTCCTTGCAAACATGGTCTGCATGCTCTCTACCCCCACTGCGTGTCCCACAGCACCCAGCAGGGTGTTAGGCACATAGTGGACCCTTGTTCCCATAAAGTTCCCTGCTGTTCCCATCAACACTCATACCGTCTTCATTTCTGTTTATACCTCACAGGGGATGGGGGAAGTGGGCAGATAGCAACACTGTACTGTTGCAGCTGCTCAGAGCAGCCAGTAGGGGGCAGGGGCTGTGGGAGGCAGATGCCTTCCTGCCCGGCCACACCACCTCCCAGCTGAGGGGGCCCTGGAGCAGCCTGGGCCTCCTCTCCTTCCCCTGGTACAGATGGGGTGCACATTTCCGCCAAGGGCTGGGTGGCAATTCAATCAAGAATGCCAACTGTTTGAATGCTTGATGGATGTTTATTTTTTGTCACATACCTCCCCGCCCTGAACACTTGCATGCTCAAATGTTGCAATTTCAACTAGACAGCAATGCTACCCATGGCCTGAATCTGCCCCTTCTTCCTTTTCCCTCCTTAGTCTTCCAGCCCTAAGATCTGTGTTTTCCTATGGCACACCTGTCTGACAGGAAACTAGGGAGTGCGGACAGAGAAGGGGCGTGAGCTGTCAGCGGGGAAAGGGCGGCCCAGAGAGTGGTACTGCCGCAGCCTTGGTGCAGGCTAGAAGCGGGTGGGCAGTGCTCAGGGCCGCTGGAGTCTTGCTTCCAGCCCAGCTGCCTGTCTTCCCTCACAGCTGGACCAGCAGCCCCACACCTCTGCCCTCTCTCGTGTGAGGACTTCCTGGTGGCCAGGGCCAGGGGGATGGGGGTGCGCCAGGCAGGGTCTCAGTGGCTGGCCCCTGGGTACAGCATCCCAGCTCGAGTCCAAAGAGCCCTGGCATGACGGCACTGACGTTTAGAAGGACGTGCCCATGGGGAGAAGCCTGCATCCGGGTTCCTCCTGCTGGCAGAACCGGGACCCGGTGGGAGTCATAGGAAGCTGATTCCGGCTTTCTGATCCCAAGAACCATCTCAGAACCCTGTTCTCTTAAAGGCTAGATGCTCAGCACCATTTCCTAGGGCCTGGACAAGGGAGCTGGCCCTAATCTAGGGCTGAGCTAAATGCCCACCACGGCCCCTTCCCGTCATTCCATGGGAAGACCTGGGCATTGGGGCAGGTGAATGGACCTGCGGGGGGGAGGAGGAGGGGGGCCGAGAACTCCGCAGGCCCTGGAGAATGGAGCACTCGCTTCCTGGCCCCTCAGTAAGTGGGTTTCCTCCTGCAGAGAAATGAGTGGAGTCCAGAACGGGGGGCTGGCCCTGCAGGAATGTAGGTCATTGTCATCGAGGACTGTACCCATCCACCCGGCTCCAAATCAGACACAGTCTTCACTGGGAAAGCAGTCCAAACCCGTGCCAGCCACGTCCCCTGGGCCTCAGGCCACCATCATCCGCCACCAGGACACATGCCCCCACACCATCCCACGGAGCGTGCAACAACCTCCGGGCTGGGCCAGGGGATGCGGGCGGCCGGCACTCGGCAGGAAGGTAATTATGAGTGGCCTTTCAGAATGGCGCAGCATGGGTCCCAGGAAGGAGGTGGCCTGTGAAAGGGTCTTCTCCGCAGCTCATTACAGACACGGTATCGATTCTTCCATCGTTATCAGAAGGCATGCCTGCCATGTGAAATCCTGTCCCTTGAAGTGTATTCGCCAGGGACTGCTTCCTCCATTTCCACGAGCACTCCTGGCCGCTAACAACCTTCCACGGGCCTTTTGAAAGCCCAAAGTTTTCAGAGAAGTAAAATGTATGGCACCGCTCCATTCATCCTGCAAGAGAAAGCAATCTATACACACGCACACACGCACACACAAAACCCTAAAGAGCGCAAAGAAACAAGCCAGAATTGTGCCGAATGTGGCCGACCACATCAAAGTGCGCTTCTGAAACTCGCCACTTCCAAGGGGCCTAAACTTTCCGAGTCCTTTTCTTGAGCAACGTGGGTGCTGTGGGTCAGTTTGTTTGGTCTGCTGCCTTCTCCTCTTAATGATACAGGGTACATGAGGGGCTGGATGAGAGAGAGCTGGATTCCAGAAAAATCCACAGCTCACTTGCCTCCTTTAAGCTACCCCTCATTCAGAACCTGGAAAATGTGAATTCCTCACTTAAATTGTCCCACAATGACTGGCCCGTGTGGCTCCGTGGTTGAATGTCAACTATGAACCAGGAGGTCAGGGCACATGCCCAGGCTGCCCGCTCGATCCCCAGTAGGGGAGGTGCAGGAGGCAGCCGATGGAGGATTTTCTCTCATCATTGATGTTTCTAGCTCGCTCTCCCTTCCCTTCTGAAATCAATAAAAAATATATATTTTTTTAATTGTCCCGCTGCCCACCCTGTTTGGTCATCTTTTCACTCCTCCAATGGCACTGTCACCCCCATTGTTCCCCTGCTCTGTTTCCGTGTGTGTGTGTGTGTGTGTGTGTGTGTGTGTGTACTCTCCGCCGCCCCTCTTCCTACACTTCTGTTTTCCCTTGGTATCTCTCTGACCCTCTCTGATCTCAGTCTCCCTAGACACCCCCGCCCCCTCTCCCTCATCTGTGTGCCTGCCTGGATCTCATGGCTTTCTCTGGCCCAGCCCTCTCATATACCCTCCCACAGGCCCTCCTGGTACCTAATTTCAAGAGATGGTTTCACCCCATTTCAGCCTAATGGGCACCGCCTCCACCGGTGCTCCCCACTCACCTTACCTCCCCCTTCCCCCTCCTCCAGGTCTCTGGACCCTGGAGTACACGCGTGAGCTCACCACGCCCCTGTGCATCGCCGCAGCCCGAGGCCATGCGGCCTGCGTGAGCCACCTGCTGGGTCGCGGCG